AAGGGGCGCGCTCGTCCTCCGCTCTCGGCTCGCTCTCTCGGGGACTGCAGGGCGCGCCGCCGCGCAGGCCGGCCCCGGCCCCGCCCCCCGGGACCCCGCCCCCGAGACCCAGGCCCCGCCCCCGGGAGCGCAGGCCCCGCGTGCAGAAGCGCACAGACTCCGGGAGGCTTGCACGCCGACAGACCCGGGCGGGCAGCGACACGCCGCGCTCCAGAGCTGTGACCGCGGCACCCACGCGTGGACGTGCAGACACACATCCCCACCTCTCTGTCCTGGTTGGGAGGCCTCGGGGTCCGGGCTGTCCCCTGCCCCTGGGCGGGAGCAGAGCAGGGAACTATGACGCTGGGCACCCCCCCAGCCCACCGCCCGTGACCCCTCAGTGCTAGTAGTCCCTGAAATCAGGCCCAAGGGCAGTCCAGGTGTGCGACGGGGCTGGGGGTGACACCCAGAGCAACCTCAGGCTAGCGAGGTCCAGGCCCTGGACTCACTTCCACCACAGGGCTGAGAGAAGGGTAGGCATTGGAGGCTGGACACTTAGAAAGAAAACAGGGCATTGGGAGGGGCGGAGGCCAGAAGGACACAAAGCCCCCTACTCCACCTGGCTCCCTGGAAGAAGAGACTTAGGAGCAGGGAATGGCTGTTCAGGCCCTGTCCAGTGTGACCATGCTGGAATGATTGTTGTTCTCATATCCCCTGCCCAATGAAGGGCCCAGGGCCTGACCCCAGATCAAACGCCAGGACCAAGGGCAGGCCCCCAGCCCTCTGGAGGGACCCATGAGCAAGCCGGGAACCTTGCCATCTGGGATTCTGGTGGGGCCAGGCCAGGCATGGCTGACTGCAGGGGGCACCCTGGGTACCACTTTGGCCTTCAGGGCAGATTCCCTACCCTTAGATGGGGCAGGGCAAGGTCTTCCAGGCAGGAGCTGAGGGTCCAGATGAGGTCCCTCAGTACTGGTAAGACCACTGCCCTCTCCCAGCCACTGTGTGGAGCCAGGAGGGCACAGGTCCCCAGTGCGAGGTGGCAGTGGTGCCTCTGCCAGGATGTCCACTCCCTTCCCCACTCTGCAGGAGGATGCTCAGCAGCAAGGACGGATGGGACTCAATGGTTTTCCTTCCTCCCTTTATGGCAGGTGAGACACTCTGTTAGACAGGCTGGAGCTCCAACTTTGCCTAAAAAAGGAAGTGGCTCAGCCAAGCTGGAGAAGCTGGGGCAGGAACGAGCGAGAACTGTGTCCCCGCTGCCCCCACCCCCTCAGACGGAGTCTTGGCAGTGCTGGTGCTGGCTCAGCTCCACAGACCTCAGGCTGCTGTTGGGACCAGAAACTGCCTGGTGCTTCCGCCTGGGCCCCGTTGAAGGGGGTGGGACACAGGCTTAGTCCCCTGAAGTCCAGGGCGTGCCTCCCAGGGGGGCCTTGCCTGGCACCCAGCCCTGAGACAAACCAGGCAGACCAGGACTGCAGCTGGCGGGGACAGTGAGTGGACGCCAGGGCCAGGTGGTGGCAGCTGGGGGCTGGGGCTCCCGCCAAGAGCCAACCCAGGGGGTGCCGGGGTTGAGGTACCCAAGTAAACATGTGTGAACACCTCGTGGCTCATCCTCCCTCTTACTGGGCACCCACTGTCGGGGGCAGGGAGCTGGGCCATGGTGGGCTGCTGCCCTGTGGTGAGGCAGCAACCGCTTTGCTTGTTCCCCAACCCCTGTGGAGCCAGCAGAGCCTGGTCACACTGTGGCCTGTGCTGCTGGGCTGACAGAGAAGTTTCCCTCCCTTCTGGAAAAACTGAGCGGGTCTTCTTGGCCACGACTCAGGCCTTCAAGGAAGCAGCCGCCCTCCTCCTTCCAGCCTCTCCTACCAAGGGAGAAAGGATGAGAGGCCCAGTGTGAGGATGGGTCTGCTGACGCCCCTGCCTGGGCTTGGCTGAACTCAGCCACCAGCCCCAGTAGAGTTCCTTTTCAGTTCTTCGGCTCATTCTTCCTGCTCATGCTGAGCTCTTACCTGACCCCTGGGAGATGCCCCCCTCCCCCCTGCCTGCATCTGGTCAGTTCTACTCCCCCAGCCCCTGTACTGCCCTGAGGCTCTCCTGGCCACACTGACCCTGCTGCCAGCATCATGGCAAGTCTCATTCCAGTGTCCTGCACTCCTCAAGGGGAGACACAGGCAGATGGAGGGTCCCCAGGGAGAGCAGGGGTCAGCCAGGAGTGTAATAGTCGTCAGGGTCAGGCCTGTGCTTGAGGCAGACGCCAGAGGAAGCACAAACATAATTGTCCGGAAACCTCCTCTCAGAAGAAAGACAGGCTGGGAGGCCGGGGGGTTGAGAAGGACACAGTGAGCCAGGACACAGCAGGCCCTGCCCGCCCGCCCTCTTCCTCCCCCAGGCCTGGCCCCTGCCTGGGCCTGGTGTGACTGAGGCGGGCCTCCCCCACTCCCCCACCCCACAGGCTTGGCCCAGTCTGAGAGCCCCAGAGCATCACTTCCTGGCACTGGCCCATCCCATCCCACTGGTCCACAGGCAGGTGGAGGGGGTTCCATGAAACCCAGGGACATTGCTCTCTGAAGGCCCTGGCCCTGCCCCCACTGGTTCCATGGAACAGTTCCTCCTCCGCACAGACCAGGCCTCTGCAGAGAAGAAGGGCCTTTTGTCCCTAGCTCACTGTGGTCATGTTGACCCTAGGGAAAGGGCAGTTCACAAGGACTATGACCCCAGCCTGAGGGCACTCTGGGCCTAAGGGGTGGAGCAGTGTGGGCCCCTTCCCTCACCAGTGGGGCACCCTGTGCTGCTATCTTTCATGTGTTTGTATCTCACATAGATGTACCCATGCACATTACTTGAGGACACTGAAAGAGGAACAGGGGTTGCTATGGTCCTGAGTTGGGGGTGTGGGGCAAGCTGGAGGCCCCAGATCCCATCACATGGTAGCTAGTGGGGCAGAGGGTGAGGGCAGCAAGAGAAGCAGGTCCTCTCAGAAGGGAACTTGGGTAATGCTGCCACCCACCCAGCTGCCCCACCCACACATTCTTCTAGACTCCACCTGCTCATTCATGGTCAGGGACATGCTAGCACCTAAAGGACTGGTCCTGAGGGTCTGCAGGTCCTGTTGTCTCACTCCGCAGGAGCCCAGGCCAGCCCTCTGTGGTCCTACAGCTGAACCCCACTCAGGGCGGGCAGCCTGGGCATTAGGTGGGTATCACCCTGTCTGTGTTCATCCCAGCAAGTCTGTGCTGGGGCCAGCCACATGCCAAATTCTGCATCGGGGACATGCAGGCACCCTGTCCTCCGAGGGCTGCCAGGCTGGAAGGGGGACAAGCATGCTTGCCAAGATTCAAGTCTACTTATTTTCGCTGTCAGGGGTGGGACCATGTTATACCAGATAGGCACGAGCTACAGGAAGTGCCAAGACCCTAGGGTGAAGCTGGCTGGTGTGTGTAAGGGCAGTAAGGAGGCCTGGGGGCAGAAAGGGTGGGGAAGGTTGTAGGGCTTTCATGGGCAAGGCAAGAGCCCATGCCATGTGTGGGGCAGGGTAGATGCCAGGGTCCTAATGCTAGTCATCTAAGGGGCCCCAGGGTATTTGCCATCTTAGGTAGATGCTAAAGGACAGGGGAAGGAGGCAGAAATGAAGGCCAGCATCCAGGCTCCTGAGAGTAGCTTGTGCAGAGACCTGAGTAGTGTGCCTTTCCTGCAGTGGGACCCCAGCTTTTGTTCCCTCTGCTGGAAATTTACAGGAAGATAATCACCATACCCAGCCCCAGCCCCAGGCAGGGTCCAGGCCAGTTTGGATTGGTAAGCAGAGAGCAGGGAGGGACAGACCAGTGTCAATACTTTGGTAGGGGCTCCCCAGAGATCAGGATAGGGCTCTGGGGGCAGAATGAGGAACTTAGCTTTCAGAGACAGCACTACGCAGCTCACTCACCTGTTCCAGCCCAGAACCCCTTGCCTAACCTGCATGCCTGGATGGGAGCAGGGCTTAGACCAGGTGTGTGGCTGACAGGAATGAACTGGCCAAATCCCCAGGACCCCTACTAGCTGCCACCAATGTCTGAGGGTGTGCCTGCAGACACCTGAGCTCCCAGGAAATACTTCGTGAATGAATAAATTATCTTGGGCAGGTCCAGGAGCCTTATGGGGCCCAATCTCCTGATCTGTGGGGTTGGAACCATGTCTCTGCCTGGGGTATTAGGGAAAGCAGACAGAGGGACACATGCACATGCACTCACACAGGCGCACACTGTGGAGACCCCTCCCCCATGACCAGGCACACTCTTACTGGGCAGGGATCTGGGCACCTGGGAAAAAAGCATTTGTTGCCCAAAGTAGAGGTCTCTGCCTGCCCCACCAGTAACTAAAGGCCACCACCCTTGACTTTCCCCCACTGGACCTCTAAAAGCCAACTGCTGAGCCCCTTCTGTTAACCTCCTACAGCGCCCCCACAGGTTCTCCTTTTGTGAGTGGCTGTGCAGAGCTGGAGCTGAGGCAGGTCATCCCTGGGGTCAGTTAGAGGCCATGCAGTGCTCCTGGGGCAGGCCTGGGAAGTTGGGACACACCTTAGGAACCCGAGGTTCTGGCAGCTGAGCTCCCCATGAAGGCCTCCCCCCTACCCCCCCCCACCAGGCCCAGCTGTTGTTTTGATGACTCTGGGGCCAGACAGATCCTCAGGAGAGTCCTCATCTTCGAAGCCTAGCCAGAGCCTGCCCAACCTTGGGCAGGAGGGGAAGGAAGGCGGCTTCAGACCAGGGGAAGCTCTCCTTGGGCGCTGGGCAGCCGGCCAGGCTCCTGTATGACTGGGCGCAGACAATTGGAAAACCCCAAGAACTCCTGTGGGATCTAAGCCAGTCACACACCGAGCTCTGCTCAAGGCCACGGAACAACCCCTGAGCCTTGTCATAGCCTAAACGCTGAGCTCTGGCCCTGCCACTCACACAGAGACCTGCCGACAACATGGTATGCTAGATCCTTTAAAAGGTCTTTCAGCTAACCCTAGATTCTGGACAAATAACAAGATACACATTTTAGTAGTTTTTTTTTTTTTAAAGTAATCTGTACATCCAACATGGGGCTTGAACTGACAACTCTGAGATCAAGAGTCACATGCTCTACTGACTGAGCCAGATAGTTGCCCCAAGAAACACAGTTTTAAGACACTGCTGGGCTTATAGGGAATATCTTCTAAGGTTCCCCCCAAATTAAAAACATTAAAAATAAATAAACAGAAGAATAATGAACAGAAACTCAGGAAGACGAAAGGAAACGGGGGGTATCAGGGAGGCCCCTCGACGAAGGGATGGGGAGCCACAGGTGCAATTACAGAAGCTGGCCCAGGACCCAAGCCAGGCCCAGATAGGGCATGCGGTGCAGAGGGATTCCCTCCTGGAAGGACATGCCTGCAGGATGCTCACAGGTGCAGGTTGACAGTGGAAAATGAGTATCCATTCAAAGAAACACTATACTGTTAGTGAGAATCAGCAGAAACAACAAATAACAGATTCAGACCCCTAGAGAGTGAGAAATTAGAATTGTTAGGTACAGAATATAAAATAACTGTGAGTAGGGGCACCTGGGCAGCTCAGTCAGTTGAGCATCTGCCTTCAGCTCAGGTCATGATCTCAGGGTCTTGGGATCAAGCCCACATGGGGGTCCCTGCTCAGATGGGAGTCTGTTTCTCTTCTGCCTCTGAGCCTTCCCCCCACCTCGTGCACTCTCGCATTCTCTCTGTCTCAAATAAATAAATAAAATCTTTAAAAAAATAACTGTGGGTGAAATGCTCAAGAAATTGAAGCAAAACTGGAATCCCAAAATTGAAATGCACGGAGACTCTCTCCCATCTGATGAGATTTGAATAAGAAACAAGCATAACTTTTTGATATAATAAAATAACTTAAAATTAATTAAATGAATGAGCTAATTGGCAGATTAGACATTAGACACAACCAACGAATTAGTGAACTGGAAGAAGATAAAGAAATTGCTCAGAATGCAGCCCAGAGAGCCAGGAAGACAAAAATACAAGAGACAGGCAAGTGGACACCAGGAGGAAAGGGGAAGAGATGCTCCCAAAAAAGAATGCAAACAATCAACGGGAGGCCAATTTGGTGACATAGGTAACGGCTGAGAATTCTCTAGAACTGATGGGAAGCACAGTGTATACTGAATGGGTGAATAAGAACACATCCACGACTAGAAACATGCTTAAAGGGCAGCCTGGGTGGCTCAGCGGTTTAGTGCTGCCGTCAGCCCAGGGCGTGATCCTGGAGAGCCAGGATCGTGTCCCAGTCCGGCTCCCTACATGGAGCCTGCTTCTCCCTCTACCTGGGTCTCTGCCTCTGTGTGTGTGTGTCTCTCATGAATAAATAAATAAAATCTTTAAAAAGAAAAGAAATATGCTTAAAGCCAAAGATTGCAAAAGATAGAGAAGATCTTAAACTTATCCAGAGAGACCGAGCTCTTAACTCTGGCACCTGTCTAGATGCTAGCCCAGGTCACAAGCCGAGCCCTGACCCCCAGCCCAGGTTGAACCCTGCAAGCCCTGGGGCTGTTGGCCACTGCTGAGCTTCTGGAACTATGTGTCTCTGGCCGAGTGTGGAAGTCTCCCGCGCAAGTCTCAGCACCGGTGGAACCCTCTGCAGACCCACTGACTGACCAGACAAGGGGCCGCAGGGCTGCGGGACAGAAGCCAGGAAGGCCATCTTTTTCTGAGCCTGGCCATGCGCCCCTACTCTAAGGCATTTCCCTCCTCCCTGGGGCCTTCCTGGTTCCTCGCAATGACAGGGAACTGCGGGGATAGGGAGACCTTGGGGACAGGCGGACCTCGGTCCGGGGGAGTCCGGTGCCATCTCGCGGCCACTCCAAGCACTGCGCTCGAAGCCCCGAGGTGGGCCCGCAATTTTCTAGGACGGAACCTGGACGCAGACCCCGCGATTGCAAGCCGGGGGCTCCCTCATGGGGCGGGGGATTTGGAGGTCTCGTCCTGTGGAGGGGCATCTGGGGTCACACCCAGGCGCAGAGCTGTTCCTCCTCGTCGGGGTGGCGTCCCACCCGCCCACGGTCGCTGGACCCCGGGTGCCGGCGAGGTCCAGGGGGCCAAGCTGGGGGCGGCAGCAGCGTGCGGAGGCGCCGGGCCAGGCGGGTGCGGGCAGCCGAAGCGAGCACGAGCAGAGGAGGCAGCGAGAGGAAGCCGAGAACGATGAGTGCCGCGGAGCCTCTATCCGACAGCAGCGTGCGGCACGCGGGGCGAGGTGCTGGGTGAACCTGGGGGCGAGGCGGGCAGTCAGGCAGGGCGGCGAGCGGCCGGGAGCAGGTGGCTCTGCGGAGGCCTGGGGGCGGGGCCCGAAGTCAGGGGCGGGGCCGTGGGGGCGGGGCCTGGTAAAGGACTGGGGGCTGGAGTAGGTGGACCTGGCTAGGCGCGCGGTCAGTTAGCCCCTGAGCGGTGGGACCTGGGCCCATGTTTGAGGGCTTGCGGGGTGGGCTGGCTGGGCCCCGGCATTAGTGAATTGAAAATAGAAGAACCGGGGCCCAAGCAGCATATGACCTGCGCAGGAGGCCCTTGAGGGGAGGCTCAGAGCCTTTCTCCGGATCGTCCCATCCCCACGGTCCTTCCGTGTCTGCTCTCCTGGGGTCCTTCCCTGTGTTGGCATTGACCTGGAGCTCCTTCCCGGGGCTCTCACCGGACGCATCACCTTCCCTTCTGCAGCCTTGCACTCTGTGCCCCTCCCCCGCCTCTGACCGACTCCTTCCCCCCTTCTGACCGACCAAACCAGAGCCCATTCCACGTGAGGAAGTCCAGCCCAGGGCAGGAGCAGTCTACGAGGGGCTGTGGGTGCCCGTAGGGGCGGCGGACTGGAGAACTTTGGCAATATCTCCACCTTCTCTTCCTGGGACCTCCCTCTTCTTCCCCCCATGCCCAGCTGTCCAGGCCCTGGTGGCCCTTGGTACAAGGCTAGGGGGCCTCGGAAGGGGAGGGAGCAGGTCCAATCCAGTGACAAACAAAAGCTCTTCTTTTGCTGTGGCTGCGGGGTGTGTGTGTGTGTGTGTGTGTGTGTGTGTGGTTGGCAGAAGCAGAGGCTTACCAGGGAGGGACACAGATGTCTCTGGGACAAGGGGGCCATGCTGGGAGGAGGGAATTCACCTAGAGCCCCAGGGCTCACACTTCTCAGGACCCCCACTCCCTAGGGCCCCAGCCAGCCCCCACCCTGCCCATGGATGGCTTAGCTCACCCTTGAGTGGCACAGGAATCCCAGGTACACGATGGCAGCTGCTGGCAGCAGTACTAGCACGAACACAGTTGCAGGCAGCAGTAGGTGCAGCAAAAGTCTGGCCAGGGCTTGGCCAGGCAGCAACAGAGTCCCAAGGCCTCGGACAGCCAGCCCTACCCACTCTGGGGACCTCAGGGCTGAGGCCTGGCTGTCAGGAAATCTTCCCGGCAGCATGGGTGCTGTGTCCGAAGTGCCCCCTCCTTCATCCTCCTCTGTCTCCTTCTCCTGTTCACTCATGCTCTTGCAGGCAACAGGCCCGGTGGGTTCACAGAGGTATTCAGATGGCAGGACTTAGGTCTTCAGGTCAGACTTCCACCCAGACCCCAGCAACCTTAGAGGACCCAGATGGGGGACAGCACCCTGGCCCACGTAGGTGCAGCTCTGACCATCAGTCTCTGAGGTCACACCCCAGCCTCAGTTTGCCCTGCTGCCAGGCTGGGCTTCCCTCTGCCAGGCGACTACAGCTCCAGCCCTGCTCAGTCTCTGCAGCCAGCTCCTGTGTGTTCTGGTCAGGGCTGCACAGCTGTCCTAGCTCTGGGGGCCCTCCTCCCTCCTGGTCCCACCCCCTCCTCGCTTCCAGCTCCCTCTCACAACAACTTCATTTCATAGATCTTGACTCTGACAACTGCCCCATCAGTTGCGGCTGTGTTGAGGTGGCCACCCACTGCACTTCCTGTCCTTAGTCCCTGCTGGTGCCCTCATCCCCAAACCTGGCCTCTGTCAGCCTCAGTAAAACAGGGAAAACACTGGGTGCCTAGACCATAGGTGTGTTGAGAGGGCATGTGAAGCACTTAGTGCAGGACTTAGCACACAGTAGGTGCTCAGTAACAGCAGCTACGGTTATCAGCATCCTTTGTGTTGAAGCCTTGTCCATCCTGAAAACAGTGGGAGCGTGCATTTTGTTATTTCACCTGGGAAGAACGCATTCCCAGGTACTCCGTAAACCCCAACTAATTTCCCTCCAAATTACTAAAATGCTCTGAGCTCCTAACAGATGTTAGGTTTTTCTTGCATAGCATTTGGCATTTTAAAAACCGCTTACATAACTAGCTGACATTCAAAGAGTAGGTTGCCTGTGAGCTGAATGAACAAGCTGTGCGATCACGTATGAGCGTCTCCCCTTCACTCCTTCTCCCACCATTGGCTTTATTACATCCAACTTCTAACATTTTCCAGTGTGTAAATTCCCTTTGGACACAAATGAATGGTGGAGGATGGCAGTCAGTGCAAGCAGGTTTAAGGAATGCAAGCCTAATACATGCCCCTGTGAGAATGCAAGCTGAGGTTCCCTGCAACACATGCCAAGCCCTGTTGCCCGACACACACAATTGTTTTCACAGGCATAAACATAACAAGATCTTATAGTGGCTGTTTATTTATTCAGATAATGAAATGAGGGTAAAAAAATGTTGCAAACAATACTGTTCAGATGGATGCAGAGTTCAGGTGGAAAAGGTACCAGTCAAATTTCCTAAGCTCCACCCTCTGCTTGGTCCGTCTTGCATTCATTCACTCATGCTATAAGCACCCCTGAGCTCCCTCAGTGTGCCAGGACTGCTCTAGGCCGGGATGCCATAGGCCCAATGTGGGCCTCTGCTCTTCAGGGGATTGCTCTGTGTGGGTGCCCCAACAGGCCTGCATGCATTTATAGCTCAGTGAGGCAGAAATTGGGATGACCCGCCACGCAGCTGGCCCTCACAGTCTCCTGCCTTCAGGAAGGCAGTTTCTAGGCTTACCTGGCTCTCACGAGGTATTGGATTTTCCACCCGTCTTCCCAGGGTGCAGAGGTATTGGATTTTCCACCCGTCTTCCCAGGGTGCAGTGTCCACAGAAGTAGCTCTTCCATATCAGGGCTCCTGGGTACCACCCCCCCCCCGCCCCCTGGCGGCCTGTCAAGGGATGCAGGGAACTGATACCTCGGCTCCCTTGCTTTGGCTGGCCACTTAGGTAGTACCTACCCTCAAGGGGCTCCCTACTCCCCATAGTGTCACCCAAGTTGCCGAGCATCCATGGTAAATCAATCCTGGTGTGGAGGAGTTTACCTCCACAGCCTGGAATCAGGAGAGAGGCCAAGCTCTAGCCCCAGAGGTGGTCTTAGCCAGCAGGGACAGGAGTAGGGGATGAGGAGCAAGACCTGAGGGAGGGACCCAAGGGAAGGCATGTGGGTGCCTCCCTGGGGCAAGTCATGGCACATCAGAGGCTGTGGGCGTGTTTCTGCCTGCCTGGCCTTTGTTTCCCAGGAGGGAGGCCAAGCCAGGAGCCCTGGCAATTGGCAGGGGAGGAAAAGTGCTGGAGCAGGGACTGCGGCCAGCAGGCAGGGTATCCTCTTAAGTTGCTGGGTAAACAGTGCATAGAAGTGTCCCTGAGCCTGGCGCAGGGGGAGCACTGCTATCCCCACCCCACAGCCTCGGTTCCAGACTTCTAGCCCTTTGCAAGCAGACAGCCCCACCTCCACTCTTTCAGAAGGAGTTTCATGAGAGGGCTGTCAGGCTGTGGCTTGGCCAGGAACCACATGGAGAGGACCCCTAGCTGGATGACAGAGTCCCAGGGTGGACTCCCTTTAGGGGTAACTAGGAGCTAAACCCTTCAGAAGGCTAAGTGGTAACCTGGTCCTTGGGGAATGGTGGTGGTGGTGGGCAGTTCATATTGGCCTGAGGACACATGGACAGGGGCTGGACAGGGGTCTCCAGTATCCATGAAGGATTCTTGTTCTTCCCAGATGGACTCTGGAAGCTCCCAGCCAGGGGGGAAGGACATGACAGAGGCAGGAGGTGAGCAGGAACTTCGGTGGGTGGAACTGGGCTCAGAGGAGGCCCTGGGAGCCAGGACAGAGGGGCCCAGTGACCCACAAGCCTGGGGCCTCCTGCTGCAAGCTGTGTGGAGGGGTCACCTTGGCCTGGCCAGGAAGCTACTGCGTCAAGGGGCCAGCGTGGAAGAGAGGTGAGCCCCAGGGTTGGACCAAGAATCTTCACCAGGGCGGGGTTGGTGGGGGTCCCTTGTCTGGGCCAGGGGGAAAGGGCCCCTCTACCTCTACCGGGCCCCCCTGCCCGCGGCCACGCCAGCCTCGCTGCCCACAGAGACCACAGGGGCAGGACCCCGCTCCACCTGGCGGTGCTGCGCGGCCACGTGCCCCTGGTGCGTCTGCTGCTGCAGCGAGGGGCAGCCGTGGGAGCGGCCGACCACGCGGGGCGCACTCCACTCCACGAGGCCGCCTGGCATGGGTCCTCGTGGGTGGCCGAGCTCCTTCTGCGGCGGGGGGCCCTGGCGGCGGCGCGCTCGGGGGCTGGCCTCACCCCGCTGCACTGGGCCGCGGCGCTGGGCCGCACGCTGCTGGCGGGGCGCCTGCTGGGCGCGCCGAGCCCGGGCCCCGCGTTGGCGGATGCGCGCGGCTGGACGGCGGCGCACTGGGCGGCTGCGGGCGGACGGCTGCCGGTGCTGGAGCTCCTGGCGGCGGACGGCGCGGGCCTGGACGGCGCGGGCCTGGACGGCGCCCTGCTGGTGGCGGCCGCTGCTGGGCGCGTGGCGGCGCTGCGCCTCCTCCTAGCGCTCGGGGCGCGGGTGGACGCCCGGGACAGCGCGGGGACCACGGCGCTCGGCGTTGCGGCGAGTCTGGGCCGCAGGCAGGTACATCGCAGTGTGTTTGTCCAGTGTGTCTGCCAGGAGGGCGCAGTCAGGCGGGCCCCTGGGCAGGTGGAGCGGGACTGGAGGGTAGGAGCAGGGTGGGGAGAGGTCGTTGTCAGGAGCCAGAAAGCTGCCTTGACTGTGTCTCCCGTTTGTGACCTCTCTTGGGAGCCTGGGGTGGGGGAGCATGCATGGCCGGGCATTCGGACTTCATGCGGGTGACTGGCAGCAGCAAATACATATGAGCACCAGGGCTATGCTTGAGTCCAGCAGGGCCCTGGGTAGTGAAGAGAGGCCATGGGCTGCTTAGTCTTGGATTTTATCTGAGGATGTTTAGGAGGACAGGTGGTTGTCGGAGTGGAATCTCCCCAGGGTGGCAGAGGGGCTGGCTCATTTTTACTAAATGGGGAAGCAGCACAGAGAAAAAGGCTGTTAGGTGGGGGAAGCCAGATGACGTGCGGGTCAGATAGAAACTGTGTGACCGGGGATCCCTGGGTGGCGCAGCGGTTTAGTGCCTGCCTTTGGCCCAGGGCGCGATCCTGGAGACCCTGGATCGAATCCCATGTCGGGCTCCCGATGCGTGGAGCCTGCTTCTCCCTCTGCCTGTGTCTCTGCCTCTCTCTCTCTCTGTGTGACTATCATAAATAAATAAAAATTTAAAAAAAAATTAGAAACTGTGTGACCCCAGCCCTTCATCTGCCTGGGCCATGGCCAGCCTCTGCCCTCTCCTTCCCTTCTCTTCCAGGACATGGAGGTGCTGCTTGACCATGGGGCAGACCCCAGCCTCAAGGACAGGCACAGTCGCTCTGCACTCCATAGGGCTGCTGCTGGGGGGCACCTGCCTGCTGCCCAGCTGCTAGCTGCCTGGGGAGTGGAGGTGGATGCTCGAGACTCATTGGGACTCACACCCCTACACCATGCTGCCCGGGGAGGCCATGCAGAAGTTGCCAGCCACCTTCTGGACAGGGGAGCGCAGGTCAATGCCACTGGATGGCTCCATAGCACCCCCCTTCACCTTGCCAGGGAGCATGGCCATGGCCCCACTGCAGACCTTTTGCTGAGCCGAGGGGCTAGCCCCACCCTGAGGACACAATGGGGTGAAGTGGTCCAGGACCTGGTGTCCCTGGAGGCTTGCGCCAAGAGCTGCCCACCTTTTGCAGAGAGCAGGAGTGGGAGGGGCACATAGCTGCAGAGGCCCTGAGCTGGACAGAAGTCTCCTGGCTCCCACAGCCTTCAGTGCACCAGGTTCCTCTCTTCTGGACTGAGGCTGCCTGCCTGCCTGTGGGGAGGACGGCTGAGAGGTTCATAGAAGAGAAGGAAGCAGTGGCTTGAGTTCCAGTAATGAACCTGGGACTGCCCACTGCTCCCTGGGGGCACATCACCCCTACAGCTCCAGATTCCTCCACACTGTTTAGCAGAGAGCGTGAGTTGTGGCAACAGATTTGAGTAAGATGTGACAGTCTCCCCTGCATCCACCCTAGGTTTGTCACCCGCAGCTGCTCTCACTGTCCATGGGGATGTTCTTCCTATGTCACGTGAGATCCAGTATCTGTCTTCTGGCATCCATTTGTTACACGGCCAAATTAGTGGCCACAGTTGCTTACATCTCCTCTCTGTCCAGGGCCTGCTCCCAGAACTGCTGTCTCCTCTCTCATACATCCAGTGGATATTCCCTCTGTCCTAAATTATCTAAGGTCAGGCACCAGACAACTAGGGACAGGCCCTATGCACCAAGGACCACTGGGATATTGAACAAGCCAAACCCAAATGTTTCCCTTGCTCTGCCTTGTCTTTCCTGTGAGAACCCCTATAAAGGCTCTGGCCCGAGCTTTCTGCTTCTTCCTGCTTCTTTTTTTTTTTTTTTTTTTTTTAAATTTATTTATTTATTTATGATAGTCACAGAGAGAGAGAGAGAGAGAGGCAGAGACACAGGCAGAGGGAGAAGCAGGCTCCATGCTCCGGGAGCCCGATGTGGGATTCGATCCCGGGTCTCCAGGATCGCGCCCTGGGCCAAAGGCAGGCGCCAAACCGCTGCGCCACCCAGGGATCCCTTCTTCCTGCTTCTGCCTCCACGGGACATTGGTGCCTCTCTTTGGCCCTGTAGGGCATGGCATGTCCTCTCGTCTCAGGAAACGCAAGTAATAAGATATGTTCTTTCAATGGTGTCAGCCTCTCCCTGTCATCACTCAGCCATTTCCATAAATTAAAACTCCTGTGGCACAATTGAAACAGAGAGACAGTTGTTTCTGATGGTCTACCTCTGGATCTTCATAGAAAATCATCACCAGTATTCAATTTAAAACTATAGTTTTTCTGAGAGATGGCTTTATGGGACAGATTTCATTTTTCAAAAGAGTGTTGTGTGCCAAATTAGCGCCTCTGCTTACAGGCCATGGAAATGCTTGGATTTACATCCAGGGCAACAGGAAGACTTGAGGGAGTTTATGTAAATGTGACATGGTCTGATCTGCTCAGGTGCCTGCCAAATACAGAGTTGATGTGTCTAGGGAAGGGAGGTCCAGGGAAACCAGTGAGATAGTGGCACCTTGGCCACCAGGGTGGGATATGCAGGCAGAATTGGGCTGATACTGTGGGCAGAGCCCTCTGGACTTGCTGATGGACTGGACATGGGAGACCAGGGAGAAAAGGCATATCAGTGACTCCTAGTGAGACCTAGGGCTGAGCTGGAGGGGTGTGGAGAGCAGACACACAGGGGATAAGGGAAAGTGGGGACTGCAGTGACATCTTTGGGATCCTCAGGGAGGATGGTCTTCAAAGGCACAGGATGGCGGTATACCCAGCTGCCCAGCAGACTGTGGGCTCTACCCTCAGAGCATACCCAGCACCCAACTGCCTCTCACCTTCTCCATTGGATCTACTATGGTCCAAGCCACAGTCAGCTTCACCTGGAATGTAATGTTGCCACAGCTAAGCCAGCTTCCAGCGTAACTGGTTTTCCTGCTTGAGGCCTTGCCTCCCTGCAGTCTGTTCTGCAAACGGCAGCTGTAAGTTTATTAAGTTGGATGATGCTACTCTCCTGCTCAGAATGCCCCCAGTGACTCTTCCGTTCACAAGGTGAAAACTCAGTGTCGCATATTGTATTGTCCAGATGCCCCAGTGACCTCACCCAGCTCACATGATTTTTTTTTTTTTAATATTTTACTTATTTAGGGCAGCCCCGGTGGCGCAGCGGTTTAGTGCCGCCTGCAGCCTGGGGTGTGATCCTGGGGACCGGGGATAGAGTCCCACGTCAGGCTCCCTGCATGGAGCTTGCTTCTCCCCCTGCCTGTGTCTCTGCCTCTCTCTGTGTGTGTCTCTCATGAATAAATAAATAAATAAAATCTTAAAAAATATATCTTACTTATGTATTCACGAGAGACATACACAGAGAGAGGCAGGGACATAGGCAGAGGGATAAGCAGACTCCCCTCAGGGAGCCTGATGCAGGACTCAATCCCCTGACTGGGATCACACCCTGAGCCAAAAGCAGACAGACACTCAACCGCTGAGTGACCCAGGGTTCGTTCACATCTTCTTTCTACAATGTGATCTCCATGTTCCTCCTGTGCAAATTAACAACAGAAAGCCTCACGAAAATATAGTTGGAGAGGTTCGGGTGGGAGAGGAGGCTCTCAGGCCCTACCGCTCCTCAGCAACTGCTGACCCAACAAGAAGAGAGGGACCCTGCAGATGGGTGTTACTTCACTAGCTCAGCAGGAGATAGGAGGCTTTCCTTATCTCCCAGCAACAGCTCAGCCTGAGAGACCATAACAACCCAGCCAATGAGAGGCAGCCCCAGCCCAGCCAATGAGAGACAGATGCAGTTCAACCAAGGAGAGACAGCCACAGCCCCGCCAGCGAGAAGCCACTATACTTCACACTCTGTTTACTCCAGTGGACTTTTTGTTTTCACTAGCTCCTTTGTTGTCTCAACTCCTCACTTTCCTCTATAAAATATCCTCTTTGGTTGTTCTCCGGGTATTGTAGTAACTTGCTTGTCCTGGACTGCAATTCTCTTTTCTCATATATATATATATTTTCTGGTAAAACAACTGGCAATTTTATTTTTTTAAAACTATTTATTTATTCATGAGAGACACAGAGAGGCAGAGACACAGGCAGAGGGAGAAGCGGGCTCTCCGCAGGGAGCCCAATGTGGGACTCGATCCCGGATCTCCAGGATCAGGCCCTGGGCCAAAGGCAGGCACTAAACCACTGAGCCACCCAGGGATCCTGCAATTTTATTTTTAATCTTAACATTCCCATCCAGAGCTAGAGTCTGTGTCTTTGCCCTTTGACATTGAGTGAACTTTTGTGACTATTCAGGCTCCTGAAATGATGCTGTGCGGTTCTCTCAGGTGAGCCAAGAAGGAGATAAAGTATTACTTTGCCCTTCAGCCATTATGTACGGAATGACAGCCCTGAAGCCATTGTGCTGTGAGGAAGCCTGAATGCAGCATGGTAAATAACCAGAACATGAAGTCCTTTCATGACCAAGGCCCTACACATCCTCACCAGTTTCCATCTCTGGCCTCTGACTTCTTACTGAAGTTCAGAGGTCCTTGGGACTCTCGTTTGCCTCACTCCCACCACACTGGTCTTTTGACTGTTCTTGATCACACCAGGTGTACTCCTACCTCTAGTCCTTTGCACTTGCTGACTCTTCTGCCTGCCATACTCTTCCTACAGATACCTGCCTGCCCCAATCAGTAACTCCCTTCTTTGGACCCTCTAATTTAAAATTGCACCGTCCCAAAAGGGAAAGCTCTTCTTTGAGTAGAATCCCAATAAATATGGAAAGAATGATGGGGCTAGAAAATCAACAATGAATGAATGCAAATTTGATGAGAAACAGGATATTCATGTCTCAAAATGTGGTGGCCACAGAGGGGTGCTTCTTAGGTACCCATTCCAGACTGCACTCACCATTCAGGTTCAAGTCCACCACAGCATCTCTCAGCAAATGGTATGCTTCTCCTGGTGGCTCCAGACACAGGCTGAACATGGTGAAAGTACTGGAGTCTCCCATTTCTGCCTAACATGAGGCATCTCTAATAGCGATCTCTGCTCAGAACTACTGGGTGAGTGCACATGTTGTCTGATCTGCATCCTATCTGAGGCCTCTCCAGTGTGAGAGAGCAAGCACAAAAATGGGGAGCAAAAGGGGGAGAAGGAGAAGCAGGGGGCTCAATCTCAGGACCCGGAGATCACGACCAGAGCGGAAGGCAGACATTTAACTGACTGAGCCTCCCAGGTACCCCTGCTTCTTCCCCCTAACAAACATTACATAAGACACCTCTGTACTCCTACCTCCATCTCAGGGGCCTATAGGAAACCTTGTAATGAATCACAAAGAATTTCTCTACAAGCTACTTATTACTTACAACCAAGTGGTCAGAGCTGATAGCACTCATGGTGTGGTAGGCTGCCATCAAGGCCTCCTAATACTATGCACTGACAAAGACACAATATAATTTATGTAGTATTCTCCCAAAAATGTATGACATGATTCTGCTTTTTTTTTAAGGATTTTATTTATTCATTTATGATAGACACAGAGAGGCAGAGACATAGGCAGAGGGAGAAGCAGGCTCCATGCAGGAAGCCCGATGTGGGACTTGATCCTGGACTCCAGGATCACGCCCTGGGCTGAAGGCAGACACTAAACCGCTGAGCCACACAGGTGTCCTGACCTGATTTTATTTGTAAGGAAATCTCAGACAAACTCAGACATTCTACAAAATAAATAACCTGTACTCATTTTTTAAATATTTTATTTATTTATGAGACACACACACACACACACACACACAGGCAGAGAAAGAGAGAGAGAGGCAGAGACAAGGCAGAGGGAGAAGCAGTCCCAATGTGGGACTCGATCCCGTGACTCCAGGATCACGCCCTGGGCTGAAGGTGGCGCTAAACCGCTGAGCCACGGGAGCTGCCCCAAAAGATTGTTTTTTGTTTTTTAAAGATTTTATTAGTTCATGTGTGACACACACAAAGAGAGGCAGAAACACAGACAGAGGGAGAAGCACTCTCCATGCAAGGAGCCTGATGTGGGACTCGATCCCAGGGCTCCAGGATCACGCCCTGGGCCGAAGGCAGGCACTCAACTGCTGAGCCACCTAGGCGTCCCAAAAAATTGTTTTTTAATCCAAGACTGGTAACAAAGCAGCAAGACAAGTGAGTACAGGTTATTTTATTTTATTTTTAAAGACTTTATTTATTTATTCATGGGAGATACAGAGAGAAAGAGAGGCAGAGATACAGGCAGAGGGAGAAGCAGGCTCCTGGCAGGGAGCCTGATGTAGGACTCGATCCCAGGTCTCCAGGATCACGCCCTGGGCTGAAGGCGGCACTAAACCGCTGAGCCACCCGGGCTGCCCCCAACCTCTTGAAAAACACCAGGGTCAAGAAAGGTAAAGACAAGCTGAGGATTAAACTAAAAATTAGACACAAGTAAATGCAGTGCATGATCCTGGACAGGGTAAAGAGCAACAAAAACATTTAACAGCAAGCACCTGTTGGCTCAGGTCAGTGGAGTGTGCAACCCTTTTATTTATTATTTATTTAGAGCCTGACTTGGGGCTTGATCCCAGGACCCTGGGATCATGACCTCAGCCGAAGGCAGGCGCTTAACTGACTGAACCACCCAGACGTCCCTACTTATCTAGCGTAGAGAGAGAGTACACATGAAGGGGAGGGGCAGAGGAGGGAGAGAATCCTCAAGCGGACTCCCTGCGGAGCTCAGAGCCCCACTTAGGGCTCAATCTCACCACCTTGAGATCATGACCTGGGCACAAACCAAGAGTTAGATGCTTAACTGACTGTGCCATGAGGGTGCCCCAAGTGTGCAACCCCTGTGTGTGGTCCATTAAAAAAAAAAAGAAGAACAGTTAACAAAATTGAAATAGGACTTGTAGATTAGATAACAGCATTAAGTTCCCCAATTTTGATCGTTTTACTGTGGTTTGCATGAATATGTCCTTGTTGTTAGGAAATACATGGTCAAGTATTTAGATATTTGCAACCTCCTCTGATACTCCAGGAAAAAAAAAAACAACAAACCGTACTATTGAGTTTATAAACGTTTATAGAAAGAATAATTTTTTAAAAAGATCTTGTTTGAGAGAGTATGAGCAGGGGGGAGGGGCAGAGGGAGAAACAGGCTGCCAGTGAAGCAGGGAACCAGAAGTGGGGCTCCATCCTAGGACCCTGAGATCATGACCCAAGCTAAAGGCAGACGCTTAACCGCCTGAAAGACCCAGGTACCCCTAGAAAGAATAATTTTAAAATGTAGGAAAAAATATAAACAGTTGATGCTATTGGGTAAAGCACATTGGGGAATTTCATGAAGTAGTCTTGCAACCTTTCCGTAATTAAGAGTCACAAAGAAAGTACACTCTCCCATTCTGCCCTCCCCCCCCCCCACTTCGTTACCTTTCATTATAATGGTAATATAACGGTACGGTGGTAAATACACATAAAATTTACCACCAGATCGTTTCAATATTTAGTATGCGTGCTGCGGAAGCGAGCTCCCGTCTTGGCCATTTTATGTATTTTAATTTTTTAAACATTTATTTATTTACCCATGAGAGACACAGACTGAGAGAGAGAGCAGAGAGAGGCAGAGGGAGAAGCAAGCTCCACGCAGGGCGCCCGATGCGGGACTCGATCCCAGGGATCACGACCTGAGCTGACGGCAGGCGCCAACCGCTGAGCCACCCAGTCGCCGTTTTGGCAATTTTTTAAAAAAATTTTTATTTACTTATGATAGTCACAGAGAGAGAGAGAGGCAGAGACACAGGCAGAGGGAGAAGCAGGCTCCATCCACTGGGAGCCCGACGTGGGATTCGATCCCGGGTCTCCAGGATCGCGCCCTGGGCCAAAGGCAGGCGCTAAACCGCTGCGCCACCCAGGGAATCCCCGTTTTGGCAATTTTAGAGCGCACAAGTGGACGGCGTTCAGCATCCTTTAGGCGTCAAGCAACCCTCCGCCGCACGCAGTGGCAGAACAGTCACCCCCGCCTGCAGCCCCGCCCCCACAGGGGCCCCCGAGCCCGCCGGCAGCCCGCCCCCCCGCGCCAGCTTCCGTCTGCGGACCTGCCTACTCCCGGCGTCTCGAACAAGTGGGACCATTAGTATTTACCTTCTCCCCCGTACCTACCGCGTCTGGCCCGCTACACAAGAGCGGGAGCCCCACTCCCGCCTCGAGCAGAGACTCGGGCTGTGAGTGGCGGGGGCGCCGGGCACGCTCGCGGCACCCCGGAAATCCCCGTTGGGACTCTGACCCGGAAGCGCTCGGGCGCCGCCACCACTTCCTCTAGGGGCGGCACGGCGCGCGCGCGGCGGCGTGGAGACGCCGGCCCGCAGGCGCCATGGTCTTCCTCACCGCGCAGCTCTGGCTGCGGAGCCGCCTCACGGACCGCTACTGGCGGGTCCAGGAGGTGCTGCAGCACGCGCGGGTGAGTCGGCCGCGCACGCCCCGCACCCACCCCCGCGTGTCCTCCCGGCCCTGGCCGCGCTGAACCCCCTTTCCCGTTTCTTGACCCAGCACTTCCGAGGAAGGAAGAATCGGTGCTACAAGCTGGCGGTGAGAGCCGTGACCAGAGCGTTTGTGAAATGCACAAAAGCGCGGAGACTCAAGAAGAGGAACATGCGGACCGTAAGCGCGGACCCGGGGGCTGGGCTTCCCCTCCCCCTGTGCCGCTTGCTCCTGACCCTCTCCGCCCCCATCTCGGGATGGCGTCCCCATCCTCCGCACCACTGTCGCCTCCCACACCCGAACCCCCGGCAATTCCTGCCTGCCCCGCGCCTCGCACCCTGTGGAAGCCGACTCCAGGCCCACTGGGTCCCTGAGACCGTCTCTGGCCACTTCCCCTCGCCCACTTGCTGTAGGTCCTCTCTTGGCTTCCCAGGTGCATCTGCGAGAAGCCTAGCCTGCTTCCTTACGTGTTCTTCGCACTTGGCTTTCTTTTGCGTGCCCGGGTCACACCCCACCGCCCTGTGGCGCATCTCCCTCATTGGGGTTGGGGTTAGGGAATTTAGCGTCCTTTCTGCAGCATCTTTGACTTGGTTGGTTGGTTATTGCTCCCCACCCCCAAAGTAAGTTTTAGGTGGATTTTCCGCTCTGCTGAATGCTGTAACCTCTGGCCTAGATCAGTAACAATTTATAAGTATTGTATGAACGAATAAGGGAGAGGGAGTAATTCTGACCCTTTAAAGTCACAAATGCCACATTAACTGTTGATCAGGGTCACAGCATGATAAGCAATCCCTGTCCACGATGGTCTCGTGTGCAGGAGTGACCTCTGCATCCCAGCTTTGTCATTTATGCCTTTCATTTACGCAGAATGGTAGAGGTGGTGCCACTTGCTGTGACCCTGCATGGATCTGGTCAGTCCAAATGTATGGGAAGACTTGTGAGCAGTGTCTGGTAACACACATGCATTTGCTGCTCACAGAGGGGTGAGGTCCCTGTACAGCAGCTGCCTCACCTAGGAACTTGTTAGCAATGCAGATTCTCAGGGCCCACTACACCTACTGAGTCAGAAAGCCTGGAGGTGGGTTCTAGAAATCTGTTTAAATAAACCACTACACACGGTTCTCATGCATATTTAAAAATTGGAACCACTGAAGTAAAGGAATAAAATGAACTTGAGTAAGATCTTAAGATTGAGGGGATCCCTGGGTGGCGCAGAGGTTTGGCACCTGCCTTTGGCCTGGGGCACGATCCTGGAGACCCGGGATCGAATCCCACATCGGGCTCCTGGTGCATGGAGCCTGCTTCTCCCTCTGCCTGTGTCTCTCTCTCTCTCTGTGACTATCATAAATAAATAAAAATTTAAAAAAAAGAGATCTTACTTAAAATGGAGTATAGAATGGCATAAGAATCCAATCCCTTAAAAAAAAAAGAATCCAATACCTTATTTTTATTTTAAAATTTTATCTTTTAAGTAATCTCTACAACCTGGAGATTCAGAGTTGCAGGCTCTACCATCTGAGCCAGTCAGGTGTCCCATAATCCAACCTGTTATTTAACAGACCAGATCTATTGGGAATCTTCCACGTAACGGACTTACCTTTCTAGGTCGTGCTGCACCAAACCACTACCCTTGATTTCTTGCAGTTTTCAGACCTTTGGCTGTGCCTGGAACTTACCCTGCTACTACTTGCCAGGAAGTTCTCTGTGATGCCTCCCCTCCCATCTCCTCCAGCCCTGTACCTCCTTCAAGACCGTTTTACCTCCAAGTCCATGCAGCTTCCATCTCAAGTTTTTCATCCCCACCTGGTAGCATTGATCTCGGTGGCTGTTCTGATTCATTCACATGGATCCTTTCTGGATTGAGCTGTGTCTGACACAGAAGCTTTTGCTCACATTTGTATTCTCAGGATCCCAAAATGTGTGTTGAATTAATGCTTTACAGCATGTGATTTCCCTATTTATTTAGAAGGAAGCTGGCATTTGAATGAAGAACATCAAATTCTGCTGACTATACTGCAGACCAGTGTGCCTAAATATAAATCACAGGCTTTTCTACTCCTTTTTTTTTTTTTTTTTTAAGATTTTATTTATTCATGAGAGTCAGAGAGAGAGGCAGAGGGAGAAGCAGGCTCCCATAGAGGAGCCTGATGCGGGACTCGATCCCCGGTCTCCAGGATCACACCCTGGGTCGAAGGCAGGCGCTCAACCACCGAGCCGTCCCAGGCTTTTCTATTCCTATTCATTTTTGCAAAAAGAGTTGTTTGATTTTTAGTTGACTCAGAACGTTTGTTGGGAGGTGTGGACATAATGCACATGTGGTCCTTAAGCATCTCAATGTTCTATTTCAGCTCTGGATTAATCGAATCACAGCTGCCTCCCAGGAACATGGCCTGAAGTACCCGGCATTCATTGTCAATTTAATTAAGGTACGGTTGAGGATGTGGTCCTGTTGAATGTTGAAATCTATAGAAAGCCTGACTGGGGTGCTCCAGTGCAATAGACCATGGAGTGTTAGCTCCTGACATGTTCTCAAGGTGGAGTTCTGGCAGGTTCAAGGACTCATCACAGTTGCTTTGCCTTTGCTCTGCTGGTAGCAGAATTGGAAATATGGTAACTGGTACCAGGACATGAGCCACTGTGTTTTTCCATCAAGAGAAAAAGAGCAGAAAACTTGGACTTCACTTTAAAGTGTAATTTGAGTTGTGCACTGAAAGATTTCTGATTAGGTAGCAGGTGAAGTTGAAACTCATAGTCAAACAACATGGGGACTTATCCTGGACAGGACAGATTAAGCATGTGTCACAAAATCTTGGTTAATTGTTCGATTTGGTGTTTATCCTAATCCCTCTCCTTTTGTCTACATTTTATTATTAAAGTTTTTATTTATTCATGAGAGAAGCAGAGACATAGGCAGAGGGAGAGGCAGGCTCCTTGCAAGGTGCCTAGTGTGAGACTTGATCCCTGGACCTCAGGATCATGCCCTGAGACTAAGGCAGATGCTCAACCAGGGAGCCACCCACGCATCCCTCTTGTTTTTTTTCTTAAAAAGAGGAGTGGGGGAAAACAAAGAAAAAAAAAAAGGAGTGGGTGTTGTGTTTCTAGCTTGTACCACACCCTGTCTTTGGTAATTTGCAAGGATCCTCATGTGTAACATTGCTGTTTTACTGATGAAGACCCTAGGCCCAGAACAGACCTTGTGCAAGGCCCAGGTAGTAGAGTAGGAGCCACCCCTGCATAGTTGGAGTTAACGTGCAGGGATCATCCTTTCTTTTGCTTTTTATGTTCATCAGTTTTTGGAAGTCACGTGCAGTTTTACTTGATAGGACATCTGGTTTCATTTTCTTGTGGGAATTGAGAATACCTGCTTTTGTTCCTTAATCCTCTGCCTGTATCTCATATACTTTTCTGTGTCTCACTTCATTGTTTGTAGAAGGAGAGTTGGGATTTCTTCTTCAAAGTTGACTTAAAGGGTTACCCCAGGCCAGCAATCATAGTTGTGTCTGGGTGATGGTAGATCATTGACCCCGAAAATGTCCCCCCTCCCCAGCCCCAAACAAGTTTATTAGTTCCATGGCTGGCACCAGGACTGGAAGCCAATATTCTTGTTCATGTGTCATCACCTCTTGCAGGGATGCCTTCCTCTTGTCCTTGTTCATATTTATCCTCCAGCATGCTGCTTGAGCACATTCTCCACACACTCTTCACCTCTCCAAAGAGACCATTTGTCCCATGAGGGAAGAGACTGCCCTGGAGGTGTGCATAGTATGCTCAGCAGAGATGCTTTTGGCTGACTCAACATAGGACAGCTGTATTCAGTCTTGTCGTTTTTTCAATAAAAACACATTTCTGATGCTGACACAGGCTCTGATTTTCTTCCCAGTGCCAGGTGGAGCTCAACAGGAAAGTACTTGCGGATCTAGCCATCTATGAACCAAAGACTTTTAAATCTTTGGCTGCTTTGGCCAAAAGGAGGCGACTGGAAGGATTTGCTGCTGCCCTAGGGGATGGCAAAGAGCCTGAAGGCATATTTTCCAGAGTGGTGCAGCATCACTGAGGGGGATTCCAACATTGCCTGCCCTTTGCAGCTGAATGTCTTAGGAAAAGTGTTTTTCCCCCTGATAATCACAGTGGTTAACATAGGGGCTAAAAGTTATGTCACCATGTGTGTAAGTTTGGTCAGCAATTATATTAGTTTGCATTTTAGTGACAGGTGTAAGAGAAGGGCTCCTTCTTCCCTTACTGGGACAAATCTAGAAATCTTACACAGATGTGCAAATAAAGCTCGTGTGGTGTTCAGCGTTTTGAGTTGTGTTCTCTGGCATAAGTACACATACCTTGGGTGCCTTGTGGGGTAAGGGGAGGAGACTTAGGGTGAGGGGTCAACTAAGAATGAGCTCCTGCAGGTGGGGAGATTTGTGCCAGATATCTGAACTCTAATGCTAGCTCCTCTCAGGGCTATGTGGGTAGCCTGTCCTTAGAACCCAAGCCTACCTGCCCCACTCTGGCCCTCCCCTGGTCTCCACTTTCCAGCAAGGACCTTGTTGCTCGGCTCTTCAGTCATCCTGAGTTGAGTGCAAGTTTCAATTTCTCTGCTTTTTCCCTCACTCCCCCGCCTAACCTTACATCACCTGTGGGGAGACCTGAACACAAGGGTTTTAGGTCCCTTTTCCAGATACTCTACTTCAGTAAGTACAGAATCAAGCCTAGGAACAATTTCCCAATATCCTCACTCCCCTGATAGAGACCAATTTATAGCAACTGTAACTCTGCCCCACCCATATGTCTGGCATCTACCCCCTGCTCCGGGCCATGTCCCTTTCATTACCCTCAGTTTCTCTCACTGTACTTTGTATTTCTCACTGTACTTTGTACTCCTTCTCAATGTACTTTGAGCTCCTTCCAGCTTGAGTCTGTTCCTTTCTTGCCCAGCTCTGGTCTCTACCTCTTGCTTCCTGCCACTGGTCTATAGTTGGTCCCATCATGTCCAAATAACTCTCATCAAACCCATCTGGAACCAAAATCCAACACATAGCCCTTGACCTCCAAGGACCATGGACTTCCTCCCCTCCCTCTCCTTGCACTGTCTCCCTCTGCTCTGCCCTCTGCCCCCAGGAAAGTTCTTCAGGCCTACAGTAGCAGTTGTCGGCCTTTATCTGGCAATGTACACCTACCTACCCAAAATGAGTGCCCATCTTTCCTCCACCACTCCTAATGCTCCCATGCTGGGTCCTCCATCCTTTGTCAGCAGTCTTCTTGGAGTCACTGTGGGTTCCTATTGAGGACTCAAGACCCACCTCCATACTCATGGAGAGCCAATCAAAACCTGGCTACCTACTACTTGGTGACCTCTTGATTCTGTCTTGTCTTCCTCCTCCCTGCAGGCTAACATCTCTTCTGGTTCAGTTACTGTACTGGCCTCCTAACAGGCTCCCCCTCCTGGCTCTTTTCACTGAGTCTAATGATGACCAGACCATTTGGAGGTGTGAGGTTGTCTTGTTCACTAGCTCTGCACACAAGGTGCTCAGTGTGCACCAATCATCAGTGAGTGGGTTTTGAATACACACCAGGGGGGAGGACACATAGTCCTTTGGTGTAGGGTACTGAACTCTGTGCAGTAAGCTGCTATGTAGGAGCTGCTTTTGTCCATCTCAATAAAGGACAGGAAAATGTAAACAACTGTGGGCTGCTCCCAGCACCCCTCCCGGTCCAGCAACAAGACCCAAGTTTTCCTTCAGGTCAGCCTGGGTTCATGGCAGGGACAAGGAGAAACAAGCTGTTTCCTGACAAAAGAATGTTCCTCCTTTCCCCAATAGTGTGCTGCTCAGTCCACAGAGCGGGGCACCTTGGAGCTGGCAGCCTGGGATCAGGGGAGATGGGACCCTGTGACCGTGTTGCCCATGAAGATGAAGAGAGGGAGGCAGGCGCTGTATGAGTCACCAGGGGTGAAAGCCAGAGATGCCTCTGGGTTTGGGAGTTTGAGTTGGGTGCAGTAACTAGCGTCGCCAAGCGTCTGGAGCTTCCCCACCGTAGGCTTTTTCCCTGTCATCTCCTCTCCAGCGTACCCCACCCCCAGAAGTTCTTGCACTAGTCATGATGAAAGTATGGGCTAGCTGTGCAGCAAGAGAACGAATCCCGCAGCTGCTGCCCTGGTACGGGACTGGCCGGTAGAAGCGATGAGACATCAAGAGCGGCTCCCCACTGAGGGAGGACGTCCGAGCTCCCTTCCTGCCCGTCCGGAGCCACTCGTGCCTTAACCCAGGCTTCGCAGAAACCTCGAACTCGACGTTTAGTTATTCCTCCCTTGTCCCTGTGAGCTCAGGGAGGACCAGGTAGGATGACCCCGCCAGCTGCCCGGGTGGACGCAGATAAACCGCATCTCGTTGCTGCGGGCATGGGCTGGGGACAACTTACCCGCACGCCAACTATTCCTCGCTCTCAGCCACCCCAGGGGGCCTCCAAGGCCTGCGATCCCCGCGGAAACAAAGCTGCCACGCGCCCGCACGTGCCCTCACTGACCTGGAGCGGTTTCGGGCCCGGTCGCGGGGACCGACCCCCCGCCCCACCTCAGGGCAGGCCGGAGCTGTGCGGTGAGAGCTCCCCCAGCTGCCGGCTCTCCGTGCAAAGGGTACGACTCCTCCCGGGTAGGCCCGAGCTTCAGGGAACCTGCGGCGGGCACCGGCAGTAGCGCTTCCGGGTCGGGCCGTGACCCGGGTCTTACACGGGCGCCGCGGGGCACCCTGGGTGACGAGCCCGCCCCCGCCCGCCCTGGACTACGGCATCGACGTCCGTCGGAACGCTGACGGGTAGGTCGCGCAGCCAATCGCGGCGAGGTAGCGCCGGGCGGCCCGCAGGTCGAGCCAATGACGCGCAGAGGGGCGGGGCGGCCGTGGCCGTGGAGCGTCGCGAGGAGCCGCCCTGCCGGGAAGAAGCCCGAAAGGGAGTCGGCGGTACAAAATGGCGGCGGCGGCGGCGGCGACGGTCGCGGCTGGGGCTCCGGGGCCGGCGGCCCCCGCGGCAGCGGCCTGCACCCCGGGCTCGGGGAGCGCAGGTCCCGGGGCGCAGGGGATGCTGATCGGGGACCGGCTGTATTCCGGGGTGCTCATCACCTTGGAGAACTGCCTCCTGCCCGACGACAAGCTTCGCTTTACGCCGTCCATGTCTAGCGGCCTTGACACCGACACGGAGACCGACCTCCGCGTGGTGGGCTGCGAGCTCATCCAGGCGGCCGGCATCCTGCTCCGCCTGCCGCAGGTGAGGGCGCGGCCACGAGCCACGGGCCGAGGTAACCGCCGCGCCGGCGCTGTGGAGGCGGCCGGACCCTTTGTTGGCGGCGGGCGGCCGACGCCGTTCTCGGGAGGTTGGGTGGGCGGCGGGGCCGCGGGGCCCCGGTGGCCTGCCAGCGTGCGCGCCAGCGTCCCCGTTCGTCGCACGGAGCGAGAGGCTTCACCGCGAAGCTTTTACAAGGGACGGAACGTTTCTTTCCAGGTGGCCATGGCTACCGGGCAGGTGCTGTTCCAGCGGTTCTTCTACACCAAGTCTTTTGTGAAGCATTCCATGGAGGTAATGGCTCTGTCGTGTCGGGGAGGGGCAGCGGCGTGGTGGTGCGTGGTGGCGTGCTCTCCTTGAGTGCCTGCGCTCAGAGTGCTCTCGCCGCAGCGGCCCTTTATGCGAGGCCCTGCTTTGCGCCCGCCGCTCTCCTTGAGTCGTCGGAGGCCTGTATGATGGGAAGGGACACATCTATGTGTTGACATGCTTGCATTTCAGCACGTGTCAATGGCTTGTGTTCACCTGGCCTCCAAGATAGAGGAGGCCCCGAGACGGATTCGGGATGTCATCAACGTGTTTCATCGCCTTCGGCATCTGAGAGAGAAAAAGTGAGTCTTTGTCAGAGCTGTTGTAAATATCGGTCGCCTTGTTCTGTGGTTGTTTCACTAACGTTTCTGAAACAAAACTAAGGGTTTGAGCTGTTAAACTTGTGTACAGGAGAGGCCTGCTGCCCAGGAGGTACCCCGCAGATGCCGTTGGATGAGTGAAGGAACCCCAGTAAAAAGGGCAGGGCACCGTGGGTACGGTTTTATGAACATTGGTCTCCCTGTTTGCTCATGCCTGTCTCCGAATGTTCTAGAGCTGGATTCACAACTTCCACACCATTGACATTTTGGGCTGTATGATTCTTCATTGTGAGGACTGTTTTGTGCATTATAGGATGGTTAGCAGTACCCCGGTCTCTGAACTGGATGTTAACGGTTCTTCTCTCAGTTGTGACAGCCAAAACTGTCTCCAGACTTGGCCCAGAGATAGCAAATTGCTCCTGGTTGAGAACCACTCTCTAGACAACCCAAACTTTATACTCCTCAAGCTTATGGAAGCCTTTTGGAAAATAGAGTCTTAGGCTGTTTAAATATCCTACATTGTTGGTACTGTGGTTTTCCATTCACTTATAACAGATACAGTTGTGTCTTGAGTCAGGTAAAGTGAGATTAGTACTTGTATGATGAGATGGTGAAATCTTATGCTCTGTGTTTGTTGCTTGTAAGGAAAAGTATTAAGAATGGATAATCAAGTTAGCTCTGGGGTTTGAGGAAGATTCTCTGGTTAAAGGAAACAAAGTGAACTAGCTACAGCTAGATTATATTTACAGTGGATTTTCGCCATTTGGAGGTAATTGGGATTCGAAAGACATTGTTTTATTTGACCCTTATGTAGACATGTGCTTTGTCTGTGTAGGAAACCTGTGCCTCTACTGTTGGATCAAGATTATGTTAATTTAAAGAATCAGATTATAAAAGCAGAAAGACGAGTTCTCAAAGAGCTGGGTTTCTGTGTCCACGTGAAGCACCCTCACAAGGTGGGTATGTGGCCCAGCTGCCACGTGAGCCCACCTGACTGCTCCGTTCTCACCAAGATTGAAAATTCTGAAGAGGATTAAATGTGTTCCTGACTTGGTTTTCCAGTTTATATCTAAAGTCTGAAAATTTTTTACTTGTTAATTGCCTTTATACTACCTGTTAATTTTACTAGTATGTTTTCAAGAGCTTTGGAAACGGAATCTTTTGAGTTTGAGCTTTCAAAAATAGTGATGAATTTGTAAAAATGAGATCTGTCAGTTTCTTTTTTTCTTTCTCAACAACTAATTTTCTAAAGTTGCTGTTTTCTTTAGTGGGGGAATTAGAAGGATTCTGAACCCTTATTTCTAAATTAACTAAAGCAGCTTTGCAGCACATGACAGTTGAGGATGGCTCCTATATAGTACCATGGGAACTTTTAATGTGACACACATAAATTTTTTTTTAAAG